TTTGCATGTAATGAGTCTTATCTCATATATTAGTTTCACCTTTTAAGTTGCATTACTGAAATAAATGAACTTTGGCACAATATTCTAATTTTTTGACTTTTACCTGTAAATCCTACCCCCCAAATAGGTCCCAGTTAAGAATGTTAGCCAGATGGACACCATTAGTACCATATTTCTCTGAAAATAAGATCTAACCGGAAAATAAGCCTAATGTGTCTTTTGGAGCAAAAATTAATATAAGACCCAGTCTTATTTTCAGAGAAACACCTGGAGCCATACACATTTTAAATAGGCCTTTTCAGCTTCAATACAGTCATATAGCTCAAAAACCAGTTACTGAACACACCATTTCATGCTCTTCCCCTCCCAACTCATATTCTGTTCAGCAACTGAAACCTCCCACCAGAGATCATTTTTCTCTTCTTTTCCCGTTTTATCAACACAGCTTTCATCATCAGCTGTCGTTTTGGTATTTATTTAAGAATGCCACATCAAGGAATATGTACTTTTTAAAAAAATTATTATTAGATCAAAAATCATGTTACAGGATTCTCTTACAGGAGCCAGAAAGTTTTAATACAGATTGGTTTGGGCAATTTTTTCCCACCTTGTAAAATTGAATAAATACAGAAGTAAAAACAAAAACAAAACACAAGCAACTCTTTTCCTATCAGAGCACAAGAAAGAAGACCAACAGGAAAATGTAGGCTCCCCCCTCCCCTTGCATCTGAAATCTTAAAAGGAGATGAACCAAAAAAAGGACATTATTTGGAGCATTGGTCTAAACTAGAACAGTTGCAGCCTTTTATCATTAAGGCACCCACTGTGGAATCCAGTGCTATGCTAATTAACACCCATTTGCCCAAGAAAACAGCCCTGCCCTTCCCCTTACTGTGCCCCTGTTCCCTATCTGTCTGGGGGAGATTTGGAGGGCCTTTGCAAGAATTGGAGGTAGGGTGGGGGAGAGAACTCCCCTCTATTCCAGTTGTACTGATAGAAATGTGTTTCCAGCCTTGAACTGCCTAAGGAATGTGCAGGCTACTTTTATTATCTTTTGTTACAGTTTTGCAAGGAAATTTCCCTTGTTCACAGTAACACCCAGGAATCTCAGGCAGAAAAAGATTCTCTGGCACTGCTTCAAACAAACCAAGGACATTATCACAGAGGATTCATCCAGATACACACACACACATGCACGCACGGACACATGCACGCACTGGGCAAAATGTGTTTTGGGCTGCAAACCGCCACGAAAAGCAACTTACTGGCAAAAAAAGAGAGCAGCTTTCTGCAGAACACATACGGATTGTGTCTTTCCAGTACTGGATGGGCCTAGCACCTTAGAAGGATCCACATATATATATTTTTTAAAAAGGTTAAAAAGACAACTTTTCCAGTTTCACAATGTGCTTGTCATATAGGACAGGGTAAGTTCAGAAGCCTACGTTCAAGTGTGTGCCTAAAGCCTTAATATTTCAAAGTGGGGGAAGAAAAAGATTTGGTCCCATATTTGCTCTTTGCAGAATGTGAAAGGAAGAAAAGAAAAGTGGGTTTAGAAAAAGAAGCTGCCAATCCAAACATGATGACTTGTCAGAGGTTTTCTTGACCTTCAAAGTTTGGGTGCTTTCCCCATGGATTTTATATGCTGCCCAGTTCACAGAGGGTTTGTTCCAGAGTTCTGTGCAGAGTCAAATTCTCTTCTTTCGCTACGGCAACTTTTTCTGGTGAGAATGGGGGGGAAAAAATATTAAGGAAAAAAAAATTCGAAAGAATAGGAATTCTGGTTCTGAATTCACACTGCAATTCATGTTCCAATTTTGGTTGTCTCTGTTTAAAACAGCATTATTCCTTCCATTACATCTTTCCCCTCAATCTTAATGTTATTCTTGTGCCTGATACACATTCCAAAGGGCCAGCAGAAGGAGCGAAACCTGTTCCGGGATGGTGAGATTTAAGTAAGAAACACCCAGGAAGTCTGACATCCGGAGGAGCAAAGGTGACACAACCCTTTATGACAGGGAATTAGTGAAAGATTTAAGAGTTCAGCAAGAGTCACAGTTGTTAACTGTGGTCAAAGGTCATCAAAGCCCAACCCACTGCTCAAAGGAGGAATTAGCTGGAGATAGATTTTATACCCCAAAAAGGAAAACTTCAGATTGAGTTTCCCACAAAAATGGCCTGATTTTATTGGGTTAGGGCAGTGGTGGGGAACCTGTGGCACAGGTGCGAGATGGCACTTAGAGCCTCCTCTGTAGGCACATATGCCGTTGCCCCAACCCAGCTCCATCGTATTTCTCCCACAGGGGGGAGACAGAGAGGGAGGGAGGGGGAGAGGGAGGGGGGGAGGGAGGGAGGGAGAGAGAGAGAGAGAGAG